GCACATCCTTCTAGTTGCTGTATGTGGGACGCGGCCTCAGCATGGCTGGAGGAGCGGTGCCTCGGTGCGCACCCGGGATCCGAACCCGGGCCGCCGGCAGCGGAGAGCACGCACTCAACCGCTAAGCCACGGGGCCGGCCCATGTTAACCATTGTTAAGTGTACAGTTCAGTGGTGTTAACTATACTCACATTGTTGTGCAACCATCTCCAGAACTTTCTCGTCTTGCAAAACTGAAACTCTGTACCCCTTAAACAGCAAATCCCCATTCCCCGCTCCTCCCAGCCCCCGGCAACCACCATTCTACTTTCTGTCTCTATGATTTTGACTACTCTAGGTACCTCATCTAAATCTAATTGTACAGTGTTTGACTTTTTGTGACTGGCTATTTCTCTTAGCGTAGTAGCCTCAACATTCATCTATGTTGTAGCAGGTGTCAGAATTTCCTTCCTTTTTAAAGGCTCAATAATATTCCATCGTGTGGATAGATTTTGTTTATCCATTCGTCCATCAGCAGACACTTGGGTTGCTTCAAACTTTTGGCTATTGTGAATAATGCTGCAATGAACATGGGTGTGTGGATATCTCTTCGAGAAAATGATTTCATTTTCTTTGGGTATATACCCAGAAGTGGGATTGTTGCATCGTATGGTAGTTGTATTTTTAATTTTTTGAGGAACCTCCATACCATTTGCCGTAATGGCTGTACCAATTTACATTCCCATCAGTAGTGCACAAGGGTTCCCTTTTCTCTAAATCCTTGCCAACCCTTGTTATCGCTTGGTTTTTTTTTTAATCTCATGTCTCTTTGATAATAGCTATTCTATCAGGTGTGAGGTAATATCTCACTGTGGTTTTGATTTGCATTTCCCTGACGATTAGCAATGTTGAACATCTTTTCACGTACCTGTTGGCCATCTGTATGTCATCTTTGGAAAAATATATGTTCAGGTCATCTGCCCACTTTTTAATTAGATTATTTATTTTGTGGCTATTGTATGAATTCCTTATAGATTTTGGATATTAACTCCTTATCTGATATATGGTTTCCGGGTTTTTTCTCCCATTCTGTAGGTTGCCTCTTTATTTTGTTGGTGGTTTCTTTTGCTGTGCAGAAGCTTTTTTTTTAAATGTAATCCCGACTTATTTATTTTTGCTTTTGTCGCTTGTGCTTTTGGTGTCATATCGAAAAATTCATTGCCAATACCAATGTCAAGGAGCTTTTTCTCTATGTTTTCTTCTAGGAGTTTTACGGTTTCAGGTCTTACATTTAAGTCTTTAGTCCATTTAGTTAATTTTCATGAGTGATATAAGATAGGGGTCCAGTTTCGTTCTTTTGCATGTGAGCATCCAGTTTTCCCACCACCATTTATTGAAAAGCCTGTCTTTTCCCCATCGAGTATCCTTGGCTCCCTTATCAAATATTACTTGACCATATATGCATGGGTTTATTTCTGGGCTCTCAATTCTGTTCATTGGTCCACGTGTCTGTTTTTATGCCGGTATCATACTATTTTGATTACTGTAGTTATGTAGTGTAGTTTGAAATCTGGAAGTGTGATGCCTCCAGTTTTCTTCTTCTTGCTCAAGATTGCTTTGGCTATTCAAGATCTTTTGTAGTTCCATATGAATTTTGGGATTGTTTTTCTATTTCTGTGGAAGATGTCTTTGGACTTTTGATAGGGATTGCATTGAATCTGTAGATGGCTTGGGTAGTATGGACATTTTAACATTATTTATTCTCCCGATCCATGAACACAGGGTATCTTTCCATTTATTTGTGTCATTGTTTAGGAACAACTCAGTCTTCCTCCTGTGTGTCTTTCCTTTACTCTCACATCACGACCACACTCAACACGTCTGACACCAGATGCGTGATGGTTTTCCCACACTGAGCAGTAATACGACACCAACTGAGTATCCTACAGTTTAACTCAGTTCTGACACTATCTACCTGGAGATAGTGTCAGAGCCCACAGGTTAAGGACTCAGTCCTACAAGACTTCCCCTCCCCAACTTCAGCCGCCAACCGCAAGTCCATGTTGTCACCTGTGCTTCTGACTGACCAGCTGCAGATTGGAGTTTCTCACCACCCTCTCCTTGGGTTTGATTAATTGGCTAGAGCTGCTCACAGAACTCAGAGAAACATTTTACTTACTCGATTATTGGTTTATTATAAAAGGATATAACTCAGGAATAGCCAAATGGAAGAGATGTATAGGGCAAGGTATGTGGGAAGGGGCGTGGAGTTTCCACGCTCTCTGAGCGCCACTCTCTCTGAATCTCCACATGTTCACCAACTGAGAAGCTCTCTGAACCCCATACTATGGGTATTTTTATGGAGGCTTCCTCACATAGGGATGATCAATTATTATCTCTGTTTCCAGCCCCTCTCCTGTCTCTGAAGGATGGGGAGTGGGGCTGAAAATTCCAAACTCTAATCATACCTTGGTCTTTCTGGTGAGCAGCCCCCATCCATGAGCCCACCCAGAGTCACCTCATTAGAGCAGAAGACACTGCCATCGCCCAGGAAAGTCCAAGGGCTTTAGGAGCCCTGTGTCAGGAACCAGAGTCAAAGACTGAATGTTAGAACAAAGAATGCTTCTAGTGCTCTCATCACTTTGGAAATTATAAGGACTTTAAGAGCTCTGTGCCAGGAACCTGGGGTAGAGACCAATACATTATATATTCTCTATTATCTCACAGTCTTCTTCAGTTTCTTTCATCAATGACTTATAGTTTTCAGTATACAGATTTTTCACTTCCTTGGTTAAATTTATTCCTGTATGTTTTATTGTTTTTGATGCTATTATAAATGGAACTGTTTTCTTTATTTCTCATTGAGATTTTTTTTGTTAGTGTGTAGAAATGCAACTGATTTTTGTAGGTTGATTTTTGTATTCTGCAACCTTACTGAATTCATTTATTAGTTCTAACAGTTTTATGGTGGAGTCTTTCGGTTCTATACCTAAGATCATGTCATCTGCAAATGGACAATTTTTTTTGTGTGTGAGGAAGATCAGCCCTGTGCTAACATCTGCCAATCTTCCTCTTTTTTTTTGCTGAGGAAGACTGGCCCTGGGCTAACATCCATGCCCGTCTTCCTCCACTTTATATGGGACGCCGCCACAGCATGGCTCGCCAAGCGGTGCATCGGTGCATGCCTGGGATCCGAATCAGGGAACCCTGGGCCACCGCAGCGGAGCGCACGCACTTAACTGCTTACGCCACTGGGTCGGCCCCCAAATGGACAATTTTAATTCCTCTATTTAATTCCTCTTATTTCTTTTTCTTGCCTAATTGCTCTGGCTAGGACTTACAGTACTGTGTTGAATAGGAGAGGTGAGAGTGGGCATCCTTGTCTTGTTCATGATCTTTTCATGGTTGAGTCAGATGTTAGCTGTGGGTTTATCACATACGGCCTTTATTATGTTGAGGTATATTCCTTCTACACCCATTTGCTGAGCACTTTTATCATGAAAGGGTGTTGAAATCTGTCAGATGCTTTTTCTGTGTCTATTGAGAGGAACTTGTGATATTTTTCCTTCATTCTATTAATGTCTTGTATCACATTTATTGATTTACCTATGATAAACTATCCTTGCATCCCAGGGATAAATCCCATTTGATCATGGAGTATGATGCTTTTAATATGCTGTTGAATTTGGTTTGCTAAAATTCTGTTGAGGGTTTTTGCATCTGTGTTCATCAGGGATATTGGCCTGTAGTTTTCTTTTCTTGTGTCCTTGTCTGGATTTGGTATCAAGATAAAGCTGGCCTTGTAAAATGAGTTTGGGAGTGTTCCCTCCTCCTCAGTTTTTGGAAGAGTTTGATAAGAATTGGTGTTAATTCTTCTTTAAATGTTTGGTAGAATTCACCAGTGAAACCATTTGGTCCTGGGCTCTTCTTTGTTGGGAGGTTTTTGATTATAGCTCCAGTCTCCTTAGTCGACATTAGTATGTTCAGATTTTCTATTTCTTCATGATTCAGGCTTGGTAGGTTGTATGTTTCTAGGAATTTATCCATTTCTTCTAGGTTGTCCAGTTTTTTTATGTATAATTGGTCGTAGTTGTCTCTCATGATCCTCTGTGTTTCTGTGGTGTCAGTTGCAAGTCTCCACCTTTATTTATGTTTATTTGAGTCCTCTCCCTTTTTTCTTGGTTAGTCTAGCTAAAGGTTTGTCAATTTTCTTTATCTTTTCACAGGACCAACTCTTAGTTTCATTGATTTTTTCTCTATTGTCTTTCTAGTCTCTGTTCCATTTATTTCTGTTCTAATCTTTATTATTTCCTTCCTTTTGCTAACTTTGGGCTTAGTTTATTCTTCTTTTTATAATTCCTTAAGGTGTAAAGTTAGGTTGTTTATTTGAGATCTTTCTTTTTTCTTACTATAGGCATTTTTTATTATAAAATTCCCTCTTAGGACCACTTCTGCTGCATCTCATAAGTGCTGGTGTGTTGTATTTTCATTTTTGTTTGTGTCTCAAGATATGTTCTGATTTCCCTTTTAATTTCTTCTTTGACCCGTGGGTTGTTCAGGAGTATGTGGTATAATTTCCACATATTTGTGAATTTTTTAGTTTTCTTCCTGTTATTGGCTTCTAGTTTCATACCATTGTGGTTGGAAAAGATATGATTTCCATCTTGTTAAATTTAATATTTGCTTTGTGGCCCGGTGTAGGATTCTCCTGGAGAATGTTCCGTGTGCACTTGGGAATCTGCTGCTGTTGGATGGAAGGTTCTATGTATGTCTGTTAGGTCCATTTGGTCTGTAGAGTTATTCAGGTCTGCTGTTCCCTTATTTTCTGTCTGGATGATCAATCCACTGTTGAAAGTGGGGTATTGAAGTCCCCTACTATTGTTGTATTGCTGTCTATTTCTCCCTTCAGTTGTGTTAATATTTGCTTTAAATATTGAGGTGCTCCAGGGTTGGGTGTGTATATATTTACAACGGTGACAACCTCTGGATGAATTGACCCCTTTATCACTATATAGTGACCCTCTTTGTCTCTTGTAACTGATTTTGACTGAAAGTCTATTTTACCTGATATAAACATAGCCCCTCCTGCTTTCTTTTGGTTTCCATTTGTGTGGACTCTTTTTCCATCCCTTTGCTTTCAGCCTGTGCGTGTCCTTAAAGCTCGAGTGAGTCTCTTATAGGCAGCGTGCTGTGGTTTTCTTTCTTTCTTTTTTTTTTTTTGAGGAAGATTGGCCCTGTGCTAACATCTGTTGCCAGTCTTCCTCCTTTTTTCTTTTTTTTCTCCCCAAAGCCCCAGTGCATAGTTGTGTATCATAGTTGTAGAGTTGTAGCCCTTCTATATGGGATGCTGCCTCAGCGTGGCTTCATGAGTGGTGAGTAGGTCCACACCCAGGATCCAAACTGGCGAACCCCAGGCTCCAGAAGCCGAGTGCACGAACTTAACTGCTACGCCACCGGGCCGGCCCCCTGTGGTTTTATTTCTTAAGCATAAGTCATCATGTGCACTTCTTCCCCATTCCCGTGCCTGCTAACCTTTGTTGCTTTATTTTCCTGCCCTAGGTGACAACATGTACAGCTGTGAACGGTGTAAAAAGTAAGTGTGTGATTCTGGGGGCTTTTCCCCGACTTCCCATTTCCCACCTCTACGGTCCATCTGTGTTGCGCATCCTTCCCCCCGGGCTCCCTCAGACTTCAATCCTGGCCTCATGGAGGTGACCAGGGCGGGAGGGGTGCTCCTGCAGCCCCCCGGCCCCTACACTGGGACGCTCACCATCTCTCGCCCGCTCTCTCCTCCCAGGCTGCGGAACGGGGTGAAGTACTGTAAGGTCCTGCGGTTGCCCGAGGTGAGTGGAGCAGCCTCCCACCACCCGTGCCCGCCAGGGCCTCTGCACGTGGATGGGCGGTGGTGTGCAGCCAGAGGCTGACCCCTCCCGGACTCAGGAGCTTCCGAGCCAAAGAGGCCCGTGGAGATTGTCCTGCTTTGGCTGGGATACCTCCGGGAGGGTGTGGCAGATGGAGAGGGCTAATGTTTCAATGTCTAACTTGGCACTCTCTCCCTTGTGGCCTCAGCTCCCTCGTCACTCAGCACATTTTGTGAGGGCCCACCATGGGGCAGGCTTAGGGGCGCTGGGGCTGCCCCCTGGAATAAGGCAGTTGTGAGGGGAGGGCACCTGGCCAACGGGGCTGTCAAGGAAGGCCTTTTCGGGGAAGCAGCGTCTGAGTGAGCCCTGAGGATGCAGGCTGGGGTCAGCCTCCTGGAGGGAGTTCCGGGGAAGGAACAGGGGGGCAAAACTCTGAAGTAGGGTGGACTTGGCTGAACCACGGAAGGCCCGTGTGGCTGGAGCGAGGAGGAGTGTGGCCCGAGATGCGGGTGCCTGAGGTGGTGCTGGGCAGGTTTGGGAAGCCTTTGTGGAGAAGCCGCTAAAAGTTGATGCCAACAGAACTGGTTGTCAGGGTTCTTTAGTTGGTAAACTCGACGGGCCAGTGACAGTCAGCTTCCTGTACAGACTAGCCCAGCTCTCGGGACAGCCCATCTCGAGATGGCAGCTGATCCTGTTAGTGAAGCTTGGCCCTGCTGTCACCTCTGCCTGTATCGTGGGACTTCAAGGAGTCTAGCTCAGCTCCCACGCGTAGTTCTTCGATCTGTTCAGATGGAGTCAGTGGGCGGCACCTATCAGCTGGCCTGGGCTTCCAGAAGGCTCTAGCTGCCGGTTTCTTGTTTCCGTTTGGATGACAAGACCTGAGTGGGTCAAACAGTGGGCTCCAGGCCCCCGTCGGGTAACCAGGGGGACAGGGCCCTGGGCAGCCCTGGAGTGACCGAGGCCTCCACCTTCTCCCCCAGATCCTGTGCATTCACCTGAAGCGCTTTCGGCACGAGGTGATGTACTCATTCAAAATCAGCAGCCACGTCTCCTTCCCCCTCGAGGGGCTTGACCTGCGCCCCTTCCTCGCCAAGGAGTGTACGTCCCAGATCACCACCTACGACCTCCTCTCTGTCATCTGCCACCACGGCACGGCAGGCAGTGAGTCCGGCCACCACCACCCGGCCCTGGCCCCATCCCCTAGGGCATCTGTAACCTGCCTGCCTCTCCCGCCTCAGGTGGCCACTACATCGCCTACTGCCAAAACGTGATCAACGGGCAGTGGTATGAGTTTGATGACCAGTATGTCACCGAGGTCCACGAGACGGTGGTGCAGAACGCTGAGGCCTATGTCCTCTTCTACAGGTGCGGGCCCTGGTGGTCGGGGGAGGGCTGGGTCTGGCTGCAGAACAGTGATTGGGCCCCCACCTGGTGACCTGGGGGCCTGGACATCCTGCCTGCTCCCCAGGGCTTTACTCTGGGTGCGTGTGGGGATGGTGAAGCCTGGGGGAGTAAGGATTTGAGATGTTAAGAAAGAGCCCCCTGGCTTCTGTGGGGAAAGCGGGACACCCACGAAGTCGGGGCTGGGTCTCCTATGATGGTCCTTGGGGGACGTGATGGGGCCGGAAGTCCGGCAGGGTGGTGGGTGCCTCTGCACACTGCCCTGGAGAGGGCGTGGCTGGTGCCCGAGGCAGGGCGGTGAGCCCAGGCACAGCCGCCCTCACTCTGCCCGCCCACCCCACCCCTGCCCCAGGAAGAGCAGCGAGGAGGCCGTGCGGGAGCGGCAGCAGGTGGTGTCCCTGGCGGCCATGCGGGAGCCCAGCCTGCTGCGGTTCTACGTGTCCCGAGAGTGGCTCAACAAGTTCAACACCTTCGCCGAGCCGGGGCCCATCACCAACCACACCTTCCTCTGCTCCCACGGAGGTGAGGCGCCCTCCTGGGGTCGGCGTGCAGGGCGGGCGGGCCGAGGCCCCAGCTCTCCCTCCCTCTGCCCTCCTCCACAGGCATCCCACCCAACAAGTACCACTACATCGACGACCTGGTGGTGATCCTGCCCCAGAACGTCTGGGAGCACCTCTACAGCAGGTACCGGGCCCGGGCCAGCCTCTCCGGGAGGCCACCCACCCTGAGCAGGACAGGAGGGCGGGGGGCGCCATGGTGGCCCCCGTGCTGCCCCCACTCAGGCGGCAGAGCGGCGTGGAAGCAGTTGCAGGGCCCCCTTACAGTCGTGTCTGCACTGGGACAGACACCCCTCACCGTGGGCATCCAGCGGGATCCTTCCAGTCACGAGGGACCGAAAACTGGCTCCAGCAAAAGCGAGCGTGCTGGCCCCTCTTACAGAGTCTTGGGGTTGCGGCTGTAGGGCGGGCTGGCCAGCGTGCTCCCCAACCCCGTACCTGGCCTGGGCGGCCTTGGGCTTGTGCTGCCTGGGGCCTTCCCGGTTCAAGTCCAAGATGAAGACCGTGTGGCTCTCGTTGAGGGCCTGCCCAGGCCTGGGTTACTCTGGAGCTGCACAGGCGGGATGTGCCCTGGCAGAGAGAGTGGTCAGACAGGTCAGGAGGGAGAGGCCCCGGCCTCTCGTCGGATGGGGCTTTGTCCCATCCACTTGCAGGTTACGCACAGACTCTGCCCTGTTGCCAGTGGGTGGGTCAGAACCCCACAGGGAGATGCACCCCCACATCCTGTGGGATCCACCCTCCCATCTGCAGCCTCCCTTTGATGTTGTCTTCAGGGTCCCGCTGGGTGGGCTCTTGGCCGCTATCGCTCTTGCTCAGGAGCCAGGAGAGGAAGTGAGAACGTTAAGCATCCTTTGCCATTAAACAGATGTTTATGACGCTCCTGCCCTGGGGTAGGCACTTGCTGGGTACTCTGGGCACGCTGGCGTGAGGCATGCTCGCCAGTCTAGTGAGGAAGACAGACAAGTGAACAGGCCGTACACAGGGTGCTGAGGGGAGCCCAGTGGGCGGGCTGGGGCCGTGGCAGGGAGCCTCCCCCGGCTGGGAGGAGCTGGCCGAGTGGAGGGTGGTAACGGCTCTCCGGCTCTCCGGCAGGTTCCGCTGCCTCCCCATTGGGACCCTCCCCTCAGGGCTCATGTGTATGTCTCTCTCTGCCTCCTACCATGGGTGCAGGTTTGGGGGCGGCCCCGCCGTGAACCATCTGTACGTGTGCTCCATCTGCCAGGTGGAGATCGAGGCGCTGGCCAAGCGCAGGCGGATTGAGATCGACACCTTCATTAAGGTGCGTGCAGGTGGGGGTGGTGTGGGGGACCCGCGGAGACTTGGGGATGAAAGAGCCGTGTGAGTCAGGCTCTGTTTGGAGGACGTGTTCTGTGGGAGCCCCGAGTGGCCGGAGATTTGAGACTTTTACTGGCAGAGGGGTTGGGTTTAGTAAGTGCAGGTCCGTCTGCTCGGCGTGCTCTTGAGCAGCTGTTAAAGGAATAGGGGGCTGCTGTTTGGGGCTGGATGATTCTTTACTGGGGGCTGGCCTATGTGTGTGGGATGTTTAGCGGCATCCCCGCCTCTACCCACGCAATGCCAGTGACAACCAGAATTACCTGCAGACGTGGGCAGACATGGCCCTCCTGTTGAGAACCACTGGGCTCTACAAACTGACGTGGAAAAGTGATTAAGTGAAAAAGCAAGTTGCAAAACAGGACCAGTAGTACCCCACTTAAGAAAGAGCCTTCTGCAGTGGAAAGGGGAGTATGAGGACTGAGGCCCTGAGCACATGCCCCCCTGGTGCTGCTCGGAACAGGGGACTCTGGAGAGGGACTCCGTCTGTCCACAGGAGAGGGTTGAGTAGACACCCTGCTTTGTGGCCATTGAAAAATGGCACGTCAGAGAGTTAGGGAGCAAGCCAGGAGGCACGTTCTCTTAAATAGGGAAGAAACCCATGTACTGTGATGTCAATGGGGTTGTTGAAGAGATTCACCAGAATGTTCCTGGCAGGCATTTGAGTGGCGGGGTTGTGGGAGGCGTTTGTTTTCTTTGAACTTGTCTGGGAGTTCTGAATTTTCTACCTGGAATATCTTGTGTTCTGTCAGAGTGGGGGGTGAGGGTTAGCGGGGTGTTGGGGTGTTTGTGCTGACCCTCCCCTCTGCCCCTGCCCCCGCCCCCGCCCAGCTGAACAAGGCATTCCAGGCTGAAGAGTCGCCGAGTGTCATCTACTGCATCAGCATGCAGTGGTTCCGGGAGTGGGAGGCCTTTGTCAAGGGGAAGGACAGTGGTGAGTGGAGCGGGCCCTGCGCTCACTGTGTCCTCTGACCCTGTGGTTTACGTGGTGCAAACAGGCCCCATCACAAGACAGCTCCAAGTCCCCACAGTCCCCGGCAAGGACCAGCAGAGCCCGAGCCCTGGCCTGCATGCAGCCTCCCTCACTGCCCTCGAGCTGCACACTCGGGCTCCCAGACCGGGGCCTGGGGCCTGGCAGGGTTGGCAGAGCCAGCAGGTTCTGTGCACTGAACATTTGCCTTTTGGAATGTGAGCACCAGCCAGGCCCTGCTGGGTGGTGAGGGCACCAGGGACACGTGCTGTGCAGGAGGTTGGGCGTGGCTGTGGTCGAGAACCTGGCTCCGAGTCACAGCCCCGCCTTGGGCCCTGGCTTTCCTTGTCTTCTGCCAGCTCTGACCTGGACGGTTCCTTCCTGTGTCTGCATAAACAGTTCTCATCTCACATGGTTGTTGAGGTTTACGTGAGACACGGGGCACACGGGAAGGGTGCTCAGTGAGATGACAGCAACGTCCCCGGGTGCTGGCTCTGCCCCCGCACTAGGGTCTGAAACTAGTGCGAGTCCCAGCAGTTCCCTCTGCTGGGTCTGGTGGTGCCGCCAGGCCCTGGACGCTCAGACGTCTGTAGATGAGCATTTGGTGCCCCAGGCACCTCACCCCGTGAGCACTTCCTGCTGAACCCTGGGTACTAGGACGGCCTCTCCACCTGGAGAATGGCTCTGATCTACTGAGGGCTGGAGGGCCGCGGCAGAGGCTGGGACTGGGGTTTCTCCCCACGGCTGCAGAGGCCCAGAGGCGCTGAGCCGCGTGTCTGTTGCAGAGCCCCCCGGGCCCATTGACAACAGCAGGATCGCACAGGTCAAAGGAAGCGGTCACATCCAGCTGAAGCAGGGTGAGTCTTCCCGCCTCCGGCCCCGGCCACCCAGGCCAGCCGCGTTCCCCTCCGTCCTCCTGGCTGCCAGTCACTGCCCTCTCAGGCGCCCCCTCGCCACCTGTCTGAGTTGGGCCAAGGCATCCACCTAGTCCAGGCCCAGGGCCTGAGCACGTGGGCCGAGGTGCTTGGCCTCTGTGTGGGTCCTCCAGGCCCCTCCCCACACCCTCTGCCGGCCTCGCCTGCCTGCCCTTTGTGTGACCTCCACCCTCTGGGAAACGAGGGGCAGCAGCCAGAGACGTCCCCTCTGGGGTCCTCAGAGAATGGATGTTCTACTGGAAAATCCTAAAATTTCCATTTAACAGCTTTGCACAAAGTTGCCCTCCCACCCTTTTGGGGCCTGGCCCGCCTGGAGCCCCTGCTGCCGAGACCGTGGCTTCATCGAGGGGCCAGGGTGAGCCTAGCGCTGACGGGTGGCCTCTTGGGCCCTGCAGGTGCTGACTACGGGCAGATTTCCGAGGAGACCTGGGTCTACCTGAACACCCTGTACGGTGGCGGCCCCGAGATCGCCATCCGGCAGAGTGTGGCCCAGCTCCAGGACCCAGAGAGCTTACATGGGGAGCAGAAAATCGAAGCTGAGACCCGGGCCGTGTGACTTGGTGGGCCAGTCCGTAAGTCCCCTCCTCCCTCTCCAGAGACCCTCTTGTGTCCCTTGAGTGCTGCAAGAGCGTGTCCCTGAACACACCTCCCTTGAGGCTGCCTGGAAGGACCCTCGTGTGGGCCACGCTGGGCTGAGTGACCCGGGTGTCCCCACAGGCCCCCACCTTTGCCCTCCTCCCTGCGGAGGGTGTGTTTGTATCCAGAGGAGAGGCCAGCCGCTTCAGAAACCCAGGTGCATCAAGAGGCAGAAAAGTTGTTTGGTTCACAGTGAGGAACGCTGCAGCTAGGAAATATATCCACTTCCGTCTTGTTCAAACGGCCGCAGCTCCGCGACGTTAACTTGAGTATTTGTCCTGGCAGCGCTCACACTTTACTGTCGTTGTGTCTGCCAAACCCGCCCTCTCGCTAGCTCGGGCCCAGCTTTGTCCCTGGAGCTCTCAGTCAGGGGCTGTGGCCTTGGGCCGGAGGGTCGGGGAGCAGCTGCTGCTTCACAGGCATTTCCCCGAGCGCCTGGTCCAGCGCCCAGGACTTGCAGGTAGATGGGCAGAGCTGGCGGGCAGAGTGCCGAGCAGGGAGGATGCTGCTGCTTGTCGCCGGGGCCAGTTCCTACGAGGCCCCTCTTCACCCCTGCATCTCCTGGTTGTCACACAAAGGCTCCTGAATCCTGGCTGCTCTCAGTGTTTGTCCTGCAGACTGCCGACTCCGGACTCCTTCACGACTGTGACCCAAAGGGGGTTGGGTTTCTGTCTGTAGGGCTTGATCCTAGAGGCAGCTGGTCCCCTCTCCCCTGTGCTGCTGAGCTGGCCCCATGATGGGCTGTGACTTGCCCCTGCTAGGGAACGGGATGATGAAACGGGTACCTCACGTCGCCATCACGTGCAGTTAACGCAGCTTCCCTAGGGGCTGACTCCCACCAAGCTGGGTGGAGCCCCTGGCCCACGGAGGTGGTGCTGGGGCCGCTCTCACACGTGGCTTCCAGAAAGGTGTCTCCTGGATGCTGAGCGAGGCCACTGCTAGGGCACAGGGACTGCCGAGCACAGTGAGGCCGTCTTGCCTCCAGTGGCACCAAAGCCCTTGGACAAACAGCTGGGGCCAGATGCTCCCCTCGTCAGGGCCAAAGCAAATGGGGAGTGGGAAGGGGTCTTAGGACCAAACTCCCCCACACTGTGGCCTTCGGTCTCCGTAGAAGCAGATGTCGTGGAAATTCCAGCGGGTGGTTCCGGCAGAGCCCTTGAAGCTCTTGCAAGTGAGATGTTGCTCACTTCTGTGATCTCGTTTTGCTGAATCTGGTTCCCTCCCCACCGAGGCAGCACATGATCAAAGAACAAAGCACTGTTGGAATTTCTTGACATATGCCACGGTCTTTGAAAGCTGCTTCTGCAGCCAGCAGCGACCCCACCGCAGAGCCTGGAGGCTGCATGTTGCACCGTTTGTGACGTAGGGATTCCGCCTTGCAGGTTGTAATCTCACCCCACGTCTGTGCGGTCTAGTTTGTGTTCAGAATGTCGTAATAAATACATATGCATTCCCCACAGCCCACGCTGTTGTCTCTGCGTCCGCCGCAGTTAATTCTGTTAGCGGGGTGGATCTCCTGCCACGGGGGAGGGCTGGGGAGCCATGGCGATGAACGATGAACGTTACAAATGCCTGGACACAGGAGGGGCCTTTGCATGGCTCCCTGAAACCGGAGAGCATCTGGAGGCTGCAGGAACGCAAGAGGAGGCCAAGCCGCCTTAAACTCCTGGCAGCGTGTCTTGCCCTTCTTGGACCCGGCCCCAGAGAAGTGGGGCCAGATGTGGTCGGGGGACGGGACGAGGCCAGCTCATCCCACAGGCTGGCGCCCTGCTGGCACCGCACTGCGGACTCGGTGCCTCGGAAGTCGGAGTAGCCGCGGAGCAGAGGTCGCCCTCCCCATCCTGGCGAGGGCTCGCTGCCCCGGGGTCCCCTTCCCTCCGCTGACGGCGGATGTTGGCGCCTCCATCCCAGTTGCTGGTGTCTGGCTCTGGGGGCTCCCTGACCTTCAGTCATCCTGGTGTTTTACAGTCCCTGCGGTTTTGGTTGGTTTTGTTTATACTTTTTGGGTTTTGGCAGGGAGAGAACTTGAGATTTTTATGTATTTAAACATCTCCTGGCGCTGGCCCGGTGGCACAGTGGTTAAGTGTGCATGTTCCACTGCAGGGGCCTGAGGGTTCGCTGGTTTGGATCCTGGGTGCATACCGCTCATCAAGCCATGCTGTGGCGGCGTCCCATATAAAAAGTAGAGGAAGATGGGCATGGATATTAGCTCAGGGCTGATCTTCCTTGGCAAAAAGAGGAGGATTGGCAACAGGTGTTAGCTCAGGGCTGGTCTTCCTCACACACAAAAATAATAAAAAATAAATAAATAAACATCTCCTTGTGAAATCCCATCAGACATGAGTGTGCAGAAACGTGTTCACCATAAAGAATGATGAGACGGTGACAGTGTGCCCGCGCCAGTGTGCCCGCCCCGGGCTGTCCCGTTGCCGGTTCCTCCTGATCACTCTTCCCCCGTCGCCCCACCCCGGAGTGACTCCGCCTGTGGTTCCTCCATCCTCACTTTCTAGTTTTGCCACGTGTGTGTGTCTAAGCAGTGTTTTTAGCTTTGCTCACATTGGACCGTCGTGTACGTGGACTCCCACGGTACGAGTTTTGTGATTGGCTTTTCCTATCGTGGAAGATGAGAATGGAAAAGTTTTGTCTGGAGGGTCGATTGATTTCCAAGGTTGGGGGACATTCGTTTATTGTACTACAGGAAGGTGAGAGAGAAATAGGTAGGTACCTATTGGCCTTAAAATGTTTCAGTTATATTTTCCCTTGAAATACCAGGCTTTTCAGTGGCTTGGCCAAACTTAGAAGCTGGAATCTGAAGACAGAACAGGAGTATGTGGTTGTTCACCTCACAGCCCGAGTGGAGACGGAAGCGCTGGGCGGCAGGGAGGCCCCTGTGGTCTTGTTTCCTCCACACGCCGTCCCCTCGTGCCCGCCGTCGGGCTCCTCCCTGAGGTGAGGCTCACTCCAGCAGCCCCGTTTAGAGGAGCCACAAGCCACCCCCTGCAGACTGAGAGTTTGTGGGCCAACTGCTGCCCGTATCTGCAGGCCCTTCCATCTGCCTGTGCTTCTGTCACAAACCTGCACTGGAAAAACATTTGCAAGGTGCAGCCACCCAGAAAGTGTCGCTTCCCACCTTTGTTCTAGTTTGAACTCAGTGCAGTGTAAATTATCCTGCGAGTCTTACACTGCCTCGTTTGAGCCCCCTTCCTTTGGGGAAGCCAGTGGTGTTTTGGAATCCTCCCTGTGTCTGGCTCTTTTCTCTACTACCACTTGACCTACAGCAGTGAGAAACGTGTTGGTTGTAGTGAAGGAGCAGGCAGCAGTCAACATTTTGTTTTTTGTGTGTGTGTGTGTGTGTGTGAGGAAGATCAGCCCTGAGCCAACATCCATGCCAATCCTCCTCTTTTTGCTGAGGAAGACCGGCCCTGGGCTAACATCTGTGCCCATCTTCCTCCACTTTATATGGGACGCCGCCACAGCATGGCCTGACAAGCAGTGCGTCAGTGCACACCCAGCATCTGAACCCAGGCCGCCAGCAGCGGAGTGTGTGCACTTAACCACTACGCCACGGGGCCAGCCCCAGCAGTCAACATTTTGGACAAAGCATGTTCTGGAAAGCTGCCAGGTGAGGTGTTAGGAGGTGTTAGGATGCAGTCTCCAGCCTTTCCTTGGATTTGACACCAGCGAGCAGCCCAGGTGAGGGGGTGTCTGGAGAGCCAGCACTGGGGACAGGGCTCTGCCTGGGGCAGTGGCAGGATGTGCGTGCGTGCTCTGAGGGGCACCAGGTTCCCGGGCAGAATGCTCCCAGGACCCTGCCCATCCCTGCCGCTTCCAGGGCCCGACAGAGGAGAATGAGGAGATCCCTGTGTTTCCTGTGTTCCTTTTTGGCTCCTTAGCTCTGAGGACAGAGCACCTGGGGGCCTTTTCTCAGTTTCTGCTCTACCTTTTGTGACCCAGAGACGTCCTCAGCTCATGGGAGGTCATTGAAGTAAATGTCACTCCCTTATACCATCTGGACAGAGATAGAAGTGTTTTTTTTTTTTTGGTGAGGAAGATCAGCCCTGACCTAACATCTGCCAATCCTCCTCTTTTTGCTGAGGAAGACTGGCCCTGGGCTAACATCCGTGCCCATCTTCCTCCACTTCATATGGGACGCCGCCACAGCACGGCTTGACAAGTGGTGCGTCGGTGCACGCCCGGGATCCAAACCCAGGCCCGGCAGTGGAACATGCGCAATTAACCGCTATGCCACCGGGCCGGGCCCGGTTTTACACACAGACAGAAGTGTGTAAATCAGGGCCTAATGGATGCAGCTCTGGAGAAACAGCTCCTGACACACACAAAGTGGCTGCTGAGTGCCAGTTGCAGCCTTTGCACTTTAATCCCAGGACTGAGAGGGCACTGGCAACATGGCTTATGGAGCCTCCCCTTCTCTGAAAAGGACAGCAGAGGCCAGGGAGGAGAAGGAGAGGCATCTTCTAGGCGGGGTGGGCCGAGCCGGGGCTGGACGTCCTCACTGCTCAGGACGCACGGGATGTTAATCCCCACAGGGCTGGGCCTGCTATCGCTGTCCTGCCTCCCCCGGCTCCTTCCCTCACTCAGATCCACACCATCCATCTTCTGCGGCAGCAGTTCAAAGTCTGATCTCTAGGCTGCCCCGTAGATTTCACAATTCCACAGATCTCTTTTGCTTTAATGAAAAAAAGGGGGGCATACTTGAAACCGCCTCCCTCTGCACACTTCCATTTCCTCCCTAGCCACCCTGTCGTTAGGGACCCTCGCTCGTCCTTCTCTCCTCGCACGCTCTGACTTCTCGTCCACTAGGGGTCGCCACCGCCACAGTGCAGCCGAGCTGGCCGACCTGGGTGCTGCCGGCAGGTGGGGGAGGCCGGGGGAGACCAGCCCTGCCCGCCCGGGGCGGCTGATGTGATTCCCAGACCTACCGGAGGAGCCTGACCGACAGGTCTGCTGCATCGCTGGAACCTTCTGAGTCAGCTGTTCCTGTGCCTGCAGAGGCGCCCGCAGGAGAGCAGCGGGGAGGGAGTTGTCTGGCAGCCCAGCTCCGCGTCGCCGCCGCTGTTTTCAGCCCCAAAGGGGCGAAAAGTGGGTCACCAGAAAGTTCAGGTGTACGGTGGGGTGAGGTGCCACCTCCCCAGAACACCTGAACCAAATAGGTGCATAAAGATGGGACAAGCCAGGCGCGTTTCTGTGTTTCCGACCCCTGCGCGCAGTGTGAAGACCTAGAGCTCTGAGCTGTGGCGTTGTCCCCATATCAGAGTAACGAACGCCATCGCAGGAGCCGGGAGCAAGCTCTGGATGAGAGCAAACACCTGTGAGCTGCTGCAGGTCGACCAGGTGCCTTCCCATGGTCTCATGTTCTCACAGCAGCTCCCCGAGGAGTCGACACCCTCACCCCTCAACCGAGGAAACTGAGGCCCACAGAGGTGAGGCCACGTGCCCCCAGTCAGCAAACCCAGCTCCCAGCCCCTCAACACTGGGGGCCCTTCAGGGAAGGAAGGTTCTAAGACAGGCAGAAACCTTCCATCTCCTCCACGGAGACCGTTGGAGACTATCCTGAAATGTGGCAAAGCCCAGAAAGAACACACTAGAAACAGCCTTCCTAGATTTACCTTTTGCTCACAGCCTAGACAAGAGGCCTCAGTCAGGACCACAGTCAAGGCACCTATTCCCTTCACTACACTCTGACTGAGAACCACGACTTCCCGATGGTTCCGTAATCCTACCCTCCCCGGGCACGGATGGCAGCAGTCTTCCCTGAGGAGCTAGCGAAGCTCTCGCTTGAAAGGCCAGTCACGTCCATTGTTGGAGGAGGCTAAGG